CTTGCCATAATAGTGTTGTTTTACTATATATATATGTATATATGTATATATATATATATATATATATATATATATATATATATATATATATACTTATTATTTATATAATCCTTTTTTTATATTTATATAATAAAGTTTATTCTATATATTTTAAACACACTATTGACATTTTTTCCTACTATTCAAAGAAGGAGTGTGGACCTTATCCACATACGCTATTGCATGTGAGCCTAATGGGAAGGCTCTGGGTCTGTAAATACCCCCTTGTCTTTACTTCTTATACAAGATAAGATCACGTTATTGCACCATATGTGCTTTCTATTCTGTATACAGGATAAGAAGGAAAGAGAAAAACTACTCAAAGAAGGGAGAGGGTCGCCTCTACGGACCCTAAGAGTGCAATAAATTGAGCTTAATCTATTAGCTCTTTAAATTGTGAGTGTAATATTTTGTCCTACCATTTGTAAAACCTTGCTGTACGGTTTACACTATGATTTGGTGTTTGTTTTTTCATTTGTGTTTTTAAGGTACACCTCATCCATCGGTAAAATCCCAAAAAGGATACATTTTAAGGTAAATACATTACCTAATCCTTCTGAGCACTTTCACAAGTTATTAGCACTTCACCATCACTCTGGTTGTAAATCTTTAGTTTATAAGATAAGCTTTTTGGTGATATAGCAGCTATAGGAATTTTTTTTTAGTTTTTTTTTACAAATTAGTAATACTATATATTCTTCCAACATCAGCACTGGTACCCCCATTGTATAATACCGTACTTTACTTGGGTAAATGGTTCTAAACTCTACTAGTGTTCTGTAGAAGTAGATTTTTTTTGTCATTTGAAGGGAAATTTAACAAATCAACCACTGAAAAATATATATTAAAAAGTAAAAGAAATTAGGAAGGAGTAGCGATTACCTAATTTAAACTCCATTTAGATATTCCTCATTCTAGATTACTTTTTTATACAAAAGTTTAAAGGACCATAAAATGCATTTTATTTCGTAAACATGTTTTAAGGTTGCAGGAGACTTTTAATCAAACTTGTCCATGCTGGTTTATCTTCTTCGCTCACACACAAATCTACCTTATGCTCATGAGATAAGTCATATTTAGAAGGTGTGTCATGACCTCTAGTGGCAGGTGTGCTCCATAATCAGCATGTGGAAGATTAATTGTTTCATTTAATTAATCGTAAAAACTGTTTTGATAATAAATATGTTCTCTATCAAAAAAGACAAATTTTAAGTAGGTTAGTAAGTTAAGAAACAAAATAAAAATCTACTAAAATGGATGTTATTTTAAACAAAAAAAAAAAAGAAAAAAAAGAGAAAGTGATTACAAAGTTATCAGATGTTTTGCCATCCATTTATACCCATTAAGATACCCAGGGAACTTGGAAAGTTTTAAATTAAAAAACAAAAACAAAACATATATACGTAACATATAAACATATAAATATATTTAGTAATGTCCAATCTTGGCCATTTATGCAAGAATACTAGTGTTGGGAATTCTAATACGTTTTACTTTAGCTATATTTTGTGAGAGTTTGTATGCTGATGGCTCAGGCTTTTGAATTTTATTTTTGTATTGCTCTGTTTTATCTACCTATCGAACCACATGGGTTCTTCTTATATTTTTGGAGGCCCAGGGCTAATCACTTAATCCCAGTAATACAATATTATTAGTTAACTAAGCACAAAAAAAAGGGAATTCATGTCAGACACAATGTCTGGATAGTTACAAGAATAAGAACAAAAGTTAATAAAATAAGGCAACAAGTAACTCTTAAAAACCTAATATACACTGAATTCACAAAAATCACTACTAAGTACAAACAAGTGTGGGTGTACTAATGTAATACAAACTTAAATAAAGACACTAGATGCCTCTGTGTGAAAAGTCCAGCACCTATTTATGGAGATAAAGTGAATCATTATTACTTGAAGCAGCTAAGGTCAGTATTGCATCCAAATTATTTTTTATAAACTGTCATAAAGCTGTCAGAAATCAGGTTCCATTGTTTTTTTAGTTAGCATTCATATAACTAGGTTGGCCAAAAAAACTAAAAGTGAAACACTAAATGTGGACACACATCTGTACTAGCAAAACCGTTTACGGATTTATTTAACCAATCATTATTAATGTTATGTTGGTAAATGTCGTGCCAATTCACAAGGAAGGTAGTAGGGAAGGGTCGGGCAACTTTAGACCAGTAAGCCTTACTTAAGTAGTGGGGAAAGTAATGGAAACCATGTTAAAGGATAGGATTGTTGATCATCTAAAAACACATGGATTTCAAGATCAGAGACAACATGGGTTTACTTCAGGGAGATCATGCCAAACTAATCTTATTGATTTTTTTGATTGGGTAACTAAAATAATAGGTGAGGGTGGTGCAGTAGACATTGCTTACCTAGATTTCAGTAAGGCTTTTGACACTGTCACAACATATCATAATAAAGAGTCTAGTGGATTAATCTTTTTAGGTATTAAATTGTTTAAGAAATCCTGGCGACACGGAAATCACATTTTAAAGATAGGTAAAGAGGAGATGAGATGGGTCCATATGTTGAAAACCCTAGAACCTAAGGGACTTAATATAGAATTTGACCTGTACAAGTTTTTATAATTCATTTTTTTTAGAACCTATTTACACGGTTGTTGCTTTTTTTTTTAACATATATAGATGTAATTTTTAACATTATATTAACATGTATCTTTTTCATACCCTATAGTAGCTCTTTTATGTTTAATTATTTTGTTTTATAGGTATTCTTGCATTTATGGGACATTGTTGTCCTTGATATTATGTTTTCTGGACTTTTTTGTTGTGAAGTTTAAGTGTTGTGCAAAGCAACATTTAGGTGATATGCCCAAAAGGTTGTGTTGTATGTTGGAATTTGCATAATGGTATTCTGCCCATTGCCCTTATAGTTTTTAGCAATAGCCAATGAATTTGGACTTTGTAATTAGTCACAATTTGCATAATTTGTATGTTGGAATTTGCATAAGGACATTCTGCCCATAGCCCTTATGGTTTTTAGCAATTGCCAATGAACTTGGACTTTGTAATTGGTCACACCACTCTGAGTGGACTTGTATACACAGAAGCAACAGGAGGATGGAAGTGATCTGAGAAAGCTGCAGTGCGAAACGCGTCATCACATTATGTGACATCATTACGTCAAAACGTCAAGAGTGCCGATACTAAGCTCCGCCCTCAAAGAATTCCCAAGCACTGACAGTCCGAGGTAATGCTAGTATTCAGTTGCACAGAAAGGATTGAACAAGTTGGAAGTGGTGTGGCACTTGAGGTTTTACATATCAGCATATTGGAATAAAGTATGAAAAAATGCCTGCTTGGAGTTATCAGTTTCTTGCCATATTAGGCTTATTATATGAAAAGTGCTGGAAGTTGGGGCAGGCTTTTTCTGCTCCCCGCTTGTGCGTGGATTTTACAAATAGATATTATTAATGCATTTACTGTTTTTAATTATGTTCTGTTATTTTCGTTTTTTATTCTTATGATATGGTACAACATATGAATTTGAAAGAAATACTTAGCTATCATTCATGAGAAGTTCCAATGCCTTTTATTTAAAGGTTTAGAGTAAGTTTGTATTTTACTTGTTCACTTGCGCACTTTTACACAGTGTATATTGCACTTTAGTTATACATATATACACTGAACAAAATTATAAAAGCAACACTTTTGTTTTTGCCCCCATTTTTCATGAGCTGAACTCAAAGATCTAAGAATTTTTCTATATACACAAAAGGCCTATTTCTCTCAAATATTGTTCACAAATCTGAGCACTTCTCCTTTGCCGAGATAATCCATCCACTTTACAAGTGTGGCATATCAAGATGCTGATTAGACAGCATGTTTATTGCAAAGGTGTGCTTCAGGCTGGCCACAATAAAAGGCCACTCTAAAATGGGTAGTTTTATCACACTGCACAATGCCACAGATGTCACAAGTTTTGAGGCAGCGTGCAATTGGCATGTTGACTGCAGGAATGTCCAGAGCTGTTGCCCGTGAATTGAATGTTCATTTCTCTACCATAAGCCGTCTCCAAAGGCATTTCAGAGAATTTGGAAGTACAACCCAACGGCCTCACAACCGCAGACCACGTGTTACCACACCAGCCCAGTACCTCCACATCCTGCATCTTCATCTTCATCTGAGACCAGCCAACCTGGACAGCTGCTGCATCAATCGGTTTGCATAGCCAAAGAATTTCTGCACAAACTGTCAGAAACCGTCTCAGGGAAGCTCATCTGCATGCTTGTTGTCCTCATCGGGGTTGTGACCTGACTGCAATTTGTCTTTGTAAATGACTTGAGTGGGTAAATGCTGACATTCAACAGCGTCTGGCACTATGGAGAGGTGTTCTCTTCATGGATGAATCCCAGTTTTCACTGTACAGGGCAGATGGCAGATAGCATGTATGACGTTGTGTGGGTGAGCGGTTTGCTGATGTCCACATTGTGGATCGAGTGGCCGATGATGGTGGTGGTGGGGTGATGGTATGGGCAGGCGTATGTTACGGACAATGAACACAGGTGCATTTTATAACAAAGAAAAAGAAAAAGAAAATCTGTCCCCGAAAAAATAAATAATATATATATAAATATAGGGAATAACAGTTAAAAAATATATATACTTTATTGAACATCAATACTGCTTTTTTGGCATCCAGAAGTCTTATCAGGACCAATTTAGAAGCTTCTGGGAGCTTACCAGTTTAAAGCAATATTTGGAACAAATATTGGTCCCCAGAGGATTACGCCCTGATATTTTATTGCCAGATAAAATCCAGACAGAGGAGCAGATCAGTGAATGGAATACCATTTTACTGGACTGCTCCTTCAAGTTAATGGATTTTCTGGTAAGGCTGCAATCTACTAATTTTGAAGCAACAAAATTAAAACTAAAAAACGACATTACCTCAATTAAAAACTACAAAACTGATGACCTGTATGTCCACATGGAAACTAAGTTACAACAGAATATCAATAACTTTAGACATCATCTTAAAGTAAAAAAACACAATACATTTCAGAGGGACTTTAAAGACTTTAAAAACAGAAGAATCTTTAGGCAATCGAATAAGTATCCAAGGCGCCGAAACAGTTACTGTGGTTCCTCATCTGGTGAGACTGATTGGTCCGATCAGGACCAGCCGTCACAAACCAGACGTAGATCTCCACCCAAACGCAACATTGACCGCACAAGAGATTCGAATTCTCATTCAAGCAATAATAAAAGTATCTTAAAGAACTCAGATAAGACAGTGTCATTTCTTGACATCCCGATCCCCATTGATACTAACAATCCTCACACTTCCATTACTCCTTCATCAAATCCTTTTTTAGAGCAGGAGCAGCCCCGACAACAACGGGGTCAATTGAGAGACAGGGATCGATGGGCATACAAGAATCAGAGCTGCACTCCAAGACAATAGCCCCTAAGAAAATAATAAATCTATCCGATTTTCAATTATCAAACCACCATATTACCTTGCTCAACCGTTTGTACCAACTCCCACCTGCAATAAGTTTAATTGGTCCAAGGACCTTAATCTTTTTGGCCGGAAACTGGCTCTTAACATATTGCATTCCAAAAAAGATCAATTAATGGCCAACTAAATGGGTCTCTCTGTGCAGGATTATGAGCTATCAAAAACTCTTGACAGTCTTTTGGTTGAAAACGATCTCTCCAGACCTCTCACGGATCTTAAACCATTGAGCTATTTCACTCCGAATTTTGTAGACACACCGCATGTTGACCTCTTTGTCCAAATCTCATTAAATGAGTTTGAAACTACAGTTAATCAAGCCCCTGTCATCAGTAATCTAAGCTTCATGGAACGTAAAGCTTTAAAAGATTTACAACAACAGACAGAGATAATCATAAAACTGGCTGACAAAGGGGCAACATAGTCCTCATGACCCGCTCTGAGTACGTCAGTATGTGTATGTCATATCTTGACGACTCAACACACTATAGAACTCTTCCCTCGGATCCAACTAAGAACATTATATGTGAGCTGTATATACTCTTAAATGATGCCTTAACTAAACAGGTTATCAAACAAGATGAATTCCGTTTTTTATTACCACAAAAAAATCCCACTATTGCAACATTTTATTGTCTTCCAAAGTTACACAAGGGCACTCGACCCCCTCCTGGCAGACCCATTGTATCAGGGAATAATTGCCTTACAGAATCCCTCAGTAAGTTTACTGAAATAATTCTGCACCCCATGGTGTTAACAGTGCCATCTTATTTACAGGACACAAAATCGACTCTTTTGACACTACAGAATATGACAGTTTCACCCTATACCCAGCTGGCGAGTTTGGATGTGGTGGCACTATATACTAACATTACCCATGATATGGGTCTAAGAGCATGCAGGTTCTTTTTAGACAATACTGCATACAACGACCTACAGAAAAATTTCATTTTGGCCATTCTTGAATTCATTTTAACACATAATTATTTTGTTTTCAATGGCCAATACTATTTACAGGTCTCTGGTACTGCTAAGGAGACGGCCTGTGCACCCACCTATGCCAATTTATTTTTGGGGTGGTGGGAGCAGTGTGTCGTCATGACATCTCAATTTAGCCGCTTTCATGAATACATCTTACGTTGGCATAGAATGGTTCTATGAAATAGGAAACAGGATCCGTCCCCATGTTTGAGAATTTTGTGAAATCTATCAATGACAATGATATCAACTTAAAATTGACGCATGTCATTGATGAACATGAATTAGTCTTTTTAGACCTTAAGATCTTGCTACAACAGGATGGAACTATCCAAACAGAACTGTCCAGGAAGGCTACCTCCACGAACAGTTTGTTACACTGGGATAGCCACCACCCTCACAAATTAAAAGCCTCCATCCCTTATAGCCAGTACCTGCGAGCAAGGCGCAACTGCTCGGTAGACCAAACTTTTTACAATGAATGTAAAATATTAAGATTTTGTTTTAAGGAACTGGGGTATCCCAACCTTGTTTTGAAAAGGGCTTTTCATCAGGTATGTGATCTGGACAGAAACTCTAGTCTTCACTTTACCAAACCAAAACTGGAACAAAAGGCCCCACGTTGTATCACCACTTTTGATCAAGGGTGGGGACCTATGTCCAAGATTCTGAAAAGAAATTGTCCAATACTCCTACATAACCCTGTACTCCTTAAAGTGCTACCAGAATACCCACCATTAACAGCACGCAGACCGAGTAATCTACAAGATCAACTTGTCCGGAGTCACCTAGCATCCCCTTTGCCTGCTACGAATTGGTTAACAAATACCAAAGGAATGTACAAATGTGGGCATTGTAAGGCCTGTCAGTATATCTTGCCCTCCAAATCAACCACATCCACACAAACTCACATCACTATAGATACAAACGCTTTGGTTAACTGTAGTACTACATGAATAATTTATTTAATTACTTGCAGCTGCCGAATCCAATATATTGGAAAAACTTTTCAACAGTTTAGACGCAGAATTTTACAACATATAACTTCCATCAATAATATTGTTACACCTACTCCGGTGGCAAGACATATTCTGAATTTCCATGATGGCAAATCTGAGAATTTGAGATTCCAAGCCATTGAAAAATTACTTCCAAACCCAAGAAAGGGTGACTTTAATAAGGTCCTACGAAAAGAATCTCAATGGATTTTTTCATTTAAGACCTTGGCTCCCCTCAGTCTGAATGAAGAATTCAACTTTACACCATTCATACACTAATAAATTGTTACCACTGGGCTAGTTTCCTGATCATTCTATAATATAATTATTATTTTTTATTTTTTTTATTTTTTCTCAACCATTCAAGTTATTATTAGACTTTTTAACTGTATATATATTTCCTCTAAAATTGGCATTACACTACATGAACACAATATAATTTTTCTGTTTCCCACAGAATACATTTAGACTGCAATATATAACTATGATATGGAAAATAAATCTCACTAGGACACAACTTTCATATATTTTCCCCTTTTATGACCTTTTGCAATGTTACAATGACTGTTCATACTGTAACCATAATTCTTAAATTGCGATCTAATAAACACTGTGTCCCACATGACATACTTAGTAAACCCTATGAATATCCACTTAAAACCTTTTTTGGAAGTATTACTACTTATATTTCGGAAGTGGCATTCGTGTGGCTTTAATATAGACATTTAATTGCTAATGATTTAATTTCAGTACAGTTATTATCTAGTATGTATTCTTTCACTTATAATTGAAAAAAATCCTCTTAATATTCGGCTCTTGTTTAGAATACTTTTATCACTAGATATTTTCAGTGAAATAGACAATTATACAACCACTCTTCATGGGATTCTATGTATATTCATATCATCTTCAATTTAAGAGGTTCGGCAATACTTTTTTGAGTACTGTCGGTTACCGTATGTGTGTACCTCCCCCTGATCCCCAACATGACCAATGAGGTTCAGGAGCGAGCTTTTTAAACCCTACCAAACTGGGGAGTCAGTTCCCCCTGATTAGCCTCTAACTCAGGCGAAACACGCATCGGGATTGACACTTACCCGATATTCATCGCCATTCCTGTTCCTTTGGTACCATCCTCTTCCTTTTTCTCCTGGCAATATACCTACAATTGGCTATATCATACAGCCCTTTGGGACCGTTATAATCTTGACGGTTGACAGCCGTCTGAGTGGAATAGGAAAATTCGATACCGATCAGGGTATCCTTTTCATAACTAATTGAAACTTGCAGGACTCTGACACTATAACTTTACTCTTCACACAGTTATTTGATCTAAACATTCTTTCCACACTTCTTTGCTATAACAGGTGCCCATGAAGGCACTATTCTATCTACCTTATTCTCTTTCTCCAGTTTTAGTAGCTTTACTGCTATTCATTATATATATGGGTTACTGGTATTGACAACTTCAGTTCTTGTTATTTAAGTGAATAGGAGTAGCTAGTTTGCAGCTTAATGATCTTTTATCTGCACGTATTATTAATCCTATCACTATCAGGCAGCCTGGTAAGCTCCTATTTCGAGCTTGAGTGCTGATAGTAGTAGTGTGTGATATATCAAGATTCCTGGCAATTAGTAGGTGATTCCTAGAGTTGAATCTTGTGGCTGATTACCTTTAGGTAAACTATTTAAGCGTACGATCTTATTATACCGTTGCATATATTTCATGCACTTTCGATACACCGGTGTACATTATCATTTGACAGCTGTGTGAAATACACAAAGAACTACATTACTGAATATCAGATACATTTCTGATACATTGTTACATTGATATTTATTTTGCAAAGTAGTTACCTCTTAAGGTGTTATATCGATACTTTGTGCCATTTATTCTCTCTTTATATACCTTATAATTATACACTGAGTTCCGGCTGACCTTATGATTAAAGCTATTTAGCTAGATATTGATGTATATATCTAATTAAGACAGCTTATTTTATTTTATTTATTTGTTCACTTTTGTGTGTCATATCTCACTTCCCTTTACCTCTATTCGTGTTCCTTACGTAGACTACTGTTATTAACTCGCTATATTGAGTTAGGTAGTTACTGTTAGAGTTTTCTTTGCAAAGTTTATGTGAGTCTTCTCTGTTCAATAAAGTATATATATTTTTAACTGTTATTCCCTATATTTATATATATATTTTTCAGGGACAGATTTTCTTTTTCTTTTTCTTTGTTACCAATTCCATTAGGGTTACCGCCTGTTCAGTTCCCTTGGACTTTTTGGCCAACTATCCTTTATTTATCAGGTGCATTTTATTGATCGCATTTCGAATGCACAGAGATACCGTGACGAGATCCTGAGGCCCATTGTTGTGTCAATCATCCATGACTATCACCTCATGTTGCAGCATGATAATGCACGGCCCCATGTTGCAAGGATCTGTACACAATTCCTGGAAGCCGAAAACATCCCAGTTCTTGCATGGCCAGCATACTCACCGGACATGTTACCCATTGAGCATGTTTGGGATGCTTTGGATCGGCGTATACGACAGCGTGTTCCAGGTCCTGCCAATATCCAGCAACTTTGCACAGCCATTGAAGAGGAGTGGACCAACATTCCACAGGCTACAATCAACAACCTGATCAACTCTATGCGAAGGAGATGTGTTGCACTGCGTGAGGCAAATGGTGGTCACACCAGATACTGACTGGTTTTCAGACCCTCCCAATACAGTAAAACTGCACATTTTGTTGCCTTTTAATGTGGTCAGCCTAAGGCACACCTTTGCAATAATCATGCTGTCTAATCAGCTGTAACACATTCCTCCTCACATTGCAGTATTTGTGCTCAGCGTCCGTGCGTCCGTATAACTGACTCTAGCAACATGTTGATGGATGCTGGCTGCTGTGGATCCATGCCAAATTAAAACCCCCATGTCTGCCCACATTGATGACGTG